CCAGGGTGGTCTTCCCAAAGGCCATGTTCTCTGGAAACAGTCTCGTGGTCACACCCAGAGGTATACTTTAACAATTGCCTGTGCACCCCTCAACTTGATATCCAAAATTATCCATCACTGGGTTTGTTGGCTTTCTATTGCAGTATAATCAATTGCTAGAAATTCAGAAGCTTAAAAATAACACAGTGTGGATGAGTATTCTGTGCACTGCTTAGTGGGGCTGTCTGCTTCAGTATCTCACTGGGCTGCAGTGCAGGTGTTAAAGCAACTGGGGTCATCTCTGGGTCTTGAGGGCTTCTTCCAAACTCACATGGCAGCTAAAAATTCAAATATATGCATCCAGAGGATTGAAGTCCTTAGCACTTGCAGGCCACCCACTGGCCCCTAAGATGTCACTGCCAACAGGTGGTTTAAACCATGATCACTCATTGTTCAGGGCTCCATGGTTAAGTGACACCCATAGGAAAGAAACCAGTGTGGGCCTGAGCTCCATTTCCACCTGTGTCATTGCTGAGCTCCAGCAGAGCACTCAGCCGCACCTGCCTGAACCTGCACACAGACAGAAAAAGAAAGAGAGTTTAAACATAAGGAACATACAAACACACATTAAATGGGTTTCACAGCATGATGTCCAGTAATGTCCGGGGTACAGCAAAGATCATTCATCATGTCAAGAACCAGGATAGGAGGAGCAAAAGATGGCAGATCAGTAAGCAGCAGGATATAGAGCCTCCCTGAGAGAAATGACTCAGATGCCAGAATAAAACGTATTGGAAAGGTCTGGACAGAGGGAGATGGATCCTCTCAACCCAGGAAGAAACTAAAGGGAAAAGAGCAGATCAAACATGCAGCCCTGGGGCTACTACTGGGCAGCTAAGATTAGCGGCCACTGTGCTCTTGTCGGAGCCACCCAAACTCACACTGCTGTGACCCACCAAATCCGAAGTCACGCTGAAGTCAGAGGTCAGTGAGCCCAACAGAGAACAGAGCTGGCAAGGGACCTGCATTAGCCCGTGGTGAGTGCAGGGAGTAAGACCCTCCCACAGGAAAGGGGCAACCAACTGGATGACATGTTGGAATTGGGCAGGAAGGGCAGGAACAAGGAATGGCAGTGACTTCAGTCAGTTACTCCCTTCCCAGAGAAAATTGGTAAGATCTGCTTGGCCTGAGTCATGCCCCTGGCTGGGACCCAATAAGTCCCAAACCAATTCCATCCGCACTGCACACACTAACATGGTAAAGATCCCCACAGGTTGACTGGCCCAGAGGGGAGGGGCCAGCATACGCTGCCCCTGCTTGCACCTCAATGACCAACAGCAAACTGGAAAGGGCAGACATTCCTAGCCAGCCTGCTTCAGAAGAATCATAACCAACAAGGAAAAGGGCTGGGACCTCCACTATGCACTTGTATGGAAGAAACCAAAAACATGACAAGAGAAAGAAATAAGAAAAAGTCCCCAGCCCCCAACCCTGAGAATATTGATCCAGAAGAGGTAAATACAAAAGAGATTGAGGGCAGCAAACATGCAATATCAGACATGGCATCAGCAGACATAAAGAGACATCTTCATGACATCATAGACGAGCTCAAACCTGAAATGCTAATTCAACTAAAGCAAGGTATAAGAAAATAAGAGAAATGCTAAGCACCTCTCAAGAAGACACAGATGGAAGAATGGAGGAACACACAAAAAAGGAGAGAAATGTTCAATGAAGAATATAAATAAAACCTAGAATACATGAAGCAGATTCAAAGAGATTCCTAGGCAATTAAAAACTCCATTGACAGCTGGCAAAACTGCTTGAAAGAAACTAAGGATAGACTATCAAAACTTGAAGACAGGTTTGCAATGTGTGATCATGAAAGGAAAGATCTCTTAAAAATAACAAAGAAACACGCAGTAACAATACAAAGGCTAGAAGATGACAAGAAGATCTATAACTTAAGAATAAAAAATCTGAGTGCAGAAGCAGGGATACAAACAAAGGAACTACAAAGGATATTCACAGAAATAATTAAGGAAAACTTCCCAAACAGGAAAAGGAAATGATATTCAGATCTATGAGGCATACAGAACTCCAGCCACTTACAACCAAAACAGAGCTACACCAGGCATATAATAATCAAGATCCCAGAAATCCAATATAAGAACAGAATACTAAAAGCTGTCAGAGAAAAGAAACAGATCACCTATAAAGGAAAACCCATCAAAATCATGGCAGACTTCTCGACACAGACCATCAAATCAAGAAGAGCTTGGAGTGAAGCATCCCAAGTCCTGAAAGAAAATAACTTCCAGCCCAGATTGATGTACCTTGCAAAACTATCTCTGAAAATTAGTGAAGAAACAAGATGCTTCCATGACAAAGAGGAACTAAGGGAATTCGTGACCACCAATCTGATCCTACAAAGAATACTGAAGGACTAGAAAGAGAGGGAAAAAATACCAGGATTTCAGTAACAGGGGTAGAGAGGCCTCACTGGATGGGGCAGACAGTGTAATAAAGGAGAAAAGTAGACAACCCATGGCAGAAAAATAGCATAGCAGAGATGAGGCAGAGAAGACTGGCTGTAATCTCTAACATAGTTGGCCTTGATACACTAACAAAAAGAAACACAGGCAGAGTAGATCAGGAGATGGGGTCCATCGAGATGCTCTGTATAGGAAAATAATCTACCTGAAAGAGTTTATGGACTGAAAGTCAAAGATGGGAAAATAATGCTTATGTGACAGGGGACCATAGGGAAATAGGGACAGCTCTCCCAGCAGCTGCAGATAGGTTGGAAAGTCATGACACTTTTGTGTAGTGGAGAACTACTCAGCTATAAGGAAGGAAAAGCTTGAGACTTTTATAGGTAAAGCAATACAACCTAAGATTAAGCTCAGGGGTAAAAAGTTCAGAACCACCTAAGTAAATAATGGGTTGCCCCTCAATCTAAATACTAAAGGAGTTAGTGAGACCCAAAATGTACAATGCACCCTTTGAAAGTGAAAGGGGAGGAACTGTCTAAAACAGGGATGCAGAGGACAGTGTGTGTATCAGGATTTAGAATCCACATTATTCTCATCACTCTGTTTAGTTTGATTTTATGCTGTTCCAGGCTGTCTACTTGTACTAGATTTGAGGGCACAGACAGCTATTCCAGAAATAGCAGGATATACTATGGTAACCATCCTTAATTTCCTATTACATTAATCTGAAGCCCTGTATTACTTACACTGTCTTATTATGACTAATCTTATTTGAATCTGGTTTGTTAGATCGCTGTTTTGTCTTGACTGATTTTATTCAAATCTTTTATGTTTGACAGTATCAAGCCTGAGAGTATAGACAACTACCCTGAAGATGGCAGGAGTCACTAGGATGCCCATTCTGGTTTGACTATTACATGCTTTTGAAGTCCAATAACGTCTCCAATGTTTTGTTTTTATTAATATTGTTATGTACTGTTATGTTCAATTATACTATGTCTGATGATATAGACAGTTCTATTGAAGATAACAAGAGACAACACAGTAACCATTGTAGATCACCTTGTACTGTGGTTTTATATTTTTCATTTCATGTTTTTATAGGAATTTGTATTGTTTTGTCTTGCTTTGTTTTGTTTTTTCCTCTAATACAGCAAGGATAGAAATATATGTAAAGACTCATGCATGTGTAGAACCTATAAACAGTTTATGAGAACTGATTATATAATGCATGATGAAATGAACAACTACCTTGAAGAAAAAGACACACTACAGTACCCAGTACTGATTCGATAGCATCATGATGAGAAATCTAACAATATTAGTCTTTGTTCAGAGTGATTTTAGCCTGTTTTGTTTTATTTAATTTCAACTTACATGAAGGTATGGACAGCTATTTTGAAGAGAACAAGAGACATTATGACAGCCATTGTTGACCTCCCTATTGTCTGATCTTTAAGACCTAAAATGCCTTCCTCATCTTGTTCAGATCAGTTCTATGCTATGTTGTTCGGATGAAGTCTTTGTATGTGAAGATATGGACAACTATTTGGAATAAAATAAGAGTCAATATAATAGACTTGCTTTGAAATTTATGTCTCTTACATCGCTTTCTTATGTTGCATTTGTTCTGTTTTGTTGTATTTAATTTTACCCTCTTTTAAATAAAAAAAAAGAACCATGGTATATTTTATTCAACATCTTGAATGGGAAAAATAATCAAAATGTGCCAATATTAAAAAGACTCAGATATTGGAATTCTCTGAAAAAGATTTTAAGACTGAAATCATAAAAGTACTTTGGTAAGAAATTATGAAAATTCTTAAATAACAGGAAACCTCAGGAAATAAATAGAAGATGTAAAAAAGGTAGCAAGGAAAATTACGTTACAAAAAAATACCGAACAGTAATTGAAATTAAACACTCACTAGATGAACTTGGTAGTAGATCAGAGATGGTACAGGAAAAATCCAGTGAACTTAAAAACAGATCTGCGGAAACTTTCAATCTGAAAATACACCCAAAAAAGGAAGAAGGACAAGAGGAGCAGGAGGAAGAGAAAGAACAGGAGGAAGAAGATGAGAAGGAAGAAGAGGAGGAGGAGGAGGAGGAGGAGGAGGAGGTGAAGGTTACCAAACTATGTGAATGTTCTTAACGCCACTGAACTCTGCTCCTAAAAATGGTTAAATGATAACTCATTTAGGGCTCTGTATAGTTCAGCACAATAAAACATCATAATCCTTAAGATATATACCTAACAAGAGTTTCAAAGCACATAAGCAAAACACAGAAATATAGAGATAAATACACAAATTCACCACTATGTTGGAAACTGTCACATTATTCTGTCAGTAATTCATAGAGTAAGTTGACAGAATATTTTCAAGGATCCAGAACTCCTAAAGTATGCTATTAACCAACTTGACCTAATTGACATTTATGAAGCACAATTACACACATTGCTTTCAAGTGCATTTGTAACATTTATCGTGATGGACCATAGTGAGCCATAAGCAGAGAAAGTAATTTAAGAGATTTAAAATAATAAAACTTTATTCTTTGATCACAATGAAATTCAACCAGAAACTAATTGCAAGAATAGATCTTGAAAATCCTCATGCATTTGGAAATTAAAAATACATTTTAACATACCCCTTGGGTCCGAGAGGAAGTTAAAAGTGGAATTATAAAATGTTTTTAATTATACACAACAGAATTTTGGAAATGTACCTCAAAAAGCTTAGAGGGGCACTTGCAGCATTAAATACTTACATTAGAAAATAACAGGGCTGGGATACATCTCAGTAGTACAGAGCTTTCCTAGCATACCCGAGTATGTGTCTGTCTGTGAGGACAAATTAATTTCCCCCTGTGAGGGAGAAGTTCAATGGCTCCAAGATCTTCATACTGGTATTACTGTACAGAAGAATATATTCTCCACAAAGGAAGAACCTACACATTGCTGTGTCTCCAAAGCCTCAGAAGGTGTCTGCCACACGGTGAGGCTGGTGCTTTTGCGGAATAGAAGGAGGCAGTGTCAGTGTTCTATAGCACAACCAACGCTGCGGGGACTTTCCGTCTGTTGCTTGGGTTATCTTTTCTTTGAGATGAACACTTTATCTTTCTTTTGCAGATGATGCGCCTTCCTCCCATTCTCTCTTCTGGATTTTTCCTCTCTTTCATAGATGTATCTATAGTTTCTGAGACATTTCTTTTTTAAAAAGTAACCTTGAGAAATAACTTTATGTCCTAAAATTCACCATCTTAAAACATAAATGTCTTTTTGTGCTGAGCGTTGTTTGAGGTTTATCCACATTGTAGCATGTATCAGAGCTTCAGACCTCCTGGTAATGACATAATACTGTTTCACAGATAAACTGCATTTTGTTTATGTATTAGTCATCAGATGCACACCTGGATTACTTTCACTTTCTACTATTTTTTTACTTTAAAGAGGGTAAAACTAAACAAAACAGAACAAAGCAGATCAGAAGAAAACAATGTTAGTGACACAGATTTCAAAGCAAGACAACAGGAGATCTACAGTGGCTACCATAATGTCTCTTGTTTTCTTCTAAATAGGTGTCTGTATCTTTACACACAATGAATTCATACAAAACAAAATAGGATTAAACTGATCAGAACAGTGATGAAGGCATTACAGGCCTTCAAAACCAGACAACAGGAAAATCAACAATGCCTGCCATAATGTCTCTTGTTCACTTCAAAATAACTGTCCATAGCTTCACGTATGTTGAAATTAAATAATTCAAAATAGACTAAAACCACTCTGAACAAAGAATAGAAACATTACTGGATTTCACAGCATGATACAGAATCAGCAATGGATACCATAGTGTCTCGTCTTCTTCAAAGCAGCTGTTCATTTCATCACACATAATATAATCAATTCTCGTAAACTGTTTAGAAGTTCTACGTATGTATAAACCTCTACATGTATTTCTGTATTAGAGGGAGAAACAAAACAAAACAGATTACTATAAAAACAAGAAACAAAAAAGACAAATAACAGTAGCAAAGAGCTCAAAACAGTGACAATATAGGCCTTCAAAGCAAGGTGGTAGGAACAGAACTAAGGTGGTTATTTTACATAGTGATCTTCAAGAGTTCCTCAGGTCACCAGACACAAACATGCAAAATTGTTTCAATCTGATGAATGTTAACTGTTTTGTTCCAAGAACTTATAGAATTTTTAGCACAATCATGTTAGCTATCCTAAGTGTGTTTATACAAATTTAGCTATTTTTTTCCCTTTCTTTTCCTTATTCTTCCTTTTCCCTGCAATATTATTCTTTTCCCCTTTGAGCAGATTCTTACCCTTTCACTGTATTTATTGAGGATTTTGTATCTTATGTACTCTTACCATTTCTTACACAGCGAGGCAATACGGTATTTACACATCTGAGTTTGATTTATTTCACTTATGAGTATGGTCTCAAGTTGCATCCATGTTTTTTTTTTTTTTTTTTTTTTTTTTTTTTTTTTTTTTGGTACTGGGGATTGAACTGGACTGCATCCTTGCAAGGCAGGGACTTATTCCACTGAGCTAAATCACCAGCCACATCCATTTACTTATAAATATCTCAATGTGATTATTCTTTATAGCTGAGTAGTACTTCATTGTATAAAAATACCACAACTTTTTTATCCATTCCTCAGTTGATGGACACTTAGGTTGTTTCCAAGATCTGGCTATTACAAATTGTGCTGCACATATATCACTGTGGTATGATATTTTCAGTTCTGGGACTATGCCTAGAAGTGGAATAGCTGGGTCGAATGGAACTTCCAATCCCAGTTTTTTGAGGAACCTCCAGACTGACCTCCACAGTGGTTGCACCAGTCTACACTCCAACTGTGCAGAAGAGTTCTTTTCCCCACAGCCTCTCCAGCATTTGTTGTTGGTATTGTTGATCCTGGTCATTCTTTCTGGAGTGAGATGGAATATCAGTGTGGCTTTAATTTGCATTTCTCTAATGACCAATGATGATGAACATTTTTCCATGTATTTAATGGCCATTATTTCTTTATCTGTGAACTCGTACCCATGTTTGGAATGGGTCTTTAAATTTTGGGGGTCTGATTTTTTTTTTAATTCTTTATATGTTCTAGACAGAAGTCCTTTGTCTGAGGGGCAGTTGACTAAGATTTTTTCAAAATTCATGGGTTTCCTTTTTTCTCTGTTGGAGATTTCTTTCAACATGCAAAAAACTTTTTAATAAGATGAAATCCCAGTTATTGATTCTGGGAAGTATTTCCCGTGCAGCTTGATTTTTGTTCATGATTCCCTACCTATCCCAATGTCTTCCAAGATTTCTATCTACTTTGTCTTCCAAAAGAATGTGTTTCTGTTTTAATATTTAGATCTTTGATCCATTTTGACTTTATTTTAGTACATGGTAATAGGCATGGGTCTAGTTTTAGGTTTTGGCATATGGAGAGCCAGTTTTTCCAGCACCATTTATTAAAGAAACTGTCTTTCTTCTAGTGAACGTGTTTGGCCCCTTTATCAAAGAAAGGTGGCTGACTGTGTTTGTAGTTGTATCTTTTAATCTATTCCATTGATCTTCAGGTCTGCTTTTCTTCCAGTACCAACTGATTTTATCACAGTAGCTTTGTACTATAACGTCAAGTCAGGGATTGTGATGCCTCCTGCCTTGCCTTACTTTCTACTATTAGGAACAGTGCTGATATGAACAAGTTTTGAGGGATATATATATATCACTTCTCTTAGATATATATCTAGAAGTAGAATTGTGAAATCACACGGCAACTTTATATTTTGCATTTTTAAGAACTGCCGAGCTGCTTTTCAAGGCAGCTGTGTCATTTCACATCCCCACCAGCCACCTGAAGCTTCTAACTTCTCCACATTTTCACCACCACTTGCTGTCGTCTGTCCAATTGCAGTCATTCTAGTTGAAAACTATGCCAATCCTTTCCATTTCGTTCTTGTGTGATGTGGACAATCTCATGATACCATATAAATAAATGTATTTCTCTTTTCTCTCGCTCAGCATTCTGGAAGTTGTACTTAGTGTTCCGTTCAATGTTCTACAGTCAGGCAGGAGTGAAGCTGAGAAGCTGCTCATGCAAATCTTTACCAGAGTACGTGTTCTCTAGTTCCTTTACAGAGATTTAGCGTATACACTGCTGAAGGAGGCGTTCTTTTGGGAGATTTTTAAATGTCTTGAGTCAACCTTTCCTTCTTTAGGTTAGAGTGGATTTCAGGTGCTGTGGACTTCATCTTGGGCTTTGCTTCTTCCGCTGGGTCACCATGGAACCTCCATATCCATGGAAGAACCTGCCCTGGTTGCTCCCCAGACCTTTTTTCCTGGTCTCCTCCCAGCAGCAACGCTTTTCACCCTGCAGTAACAGGGGAGAGAAAAGGATATTATTCTCCTTCTCCAAGTAAATCTATTTCTCTTGCCACTCAGAGTCCCTAGATTCTGCTGATTCACCAGGGCAATTGTGGACTAGTTCTACATACTGGACCAATACTTTTTTTCCTTGCTGTTTTTTGTTTTTTTGTTTTTTTTAATCATTTTCTTGTTGCTGCTAGATTTTTGCATGCGTGTGTGTGTATGTGTGTGTGTGTGAAAGATGTTCTAGTTTCTAATACATTGTGTTTGTGTCATTAGCTGTTTGAAAAGACAGATGCTATGATGTTCAGAGCAGTTAGGTGATCAGCTCACCCCTGCAGATTCCTCACTATTTTATTCATCAAACGGGCACAGGGCCTCTCTTCTGCACCAGTCAGGTCTCCCAAAGGTGGAGTATGCAGAGAACCAGGGGCTGCCTGCCTTCGTGGAGGCTCTCAGTAACTTAGGAATCTGTGTCTTTTATAAAGTTTCCTGATTTTGCACAAACAAAAAAATAACCCACTGTGTTTATAGAAATAATTTCCATACTTTAAATCTAAGAATTTATACTGATTTTCCCTAGACTTTAAAATTAGCTGACAGATGCAGAGGGTGTCACACTTGCCGAGCTTGGTTTTGAACCTCAACCCTGCAAGCAAATAAAGAATAAATAGCAGTTATAATGTGCAGCATCAGGATTGAGGCAGCTTCCTCACGGTGTTAGAGGTTTTGGTCCACAGTCACCTGGCTCCAAGGCAGGAACAGCATGGCAGAAAGACCTGGCAGAAGCAAGCTGCTCACCTTGGGGCAGCTAGGAAGAACCAAAGTGGAGGGCAGTGGAGACTGCACAGGCCAGGGATCTGCTTCCTCCGCTGGACTCCAGCCCCCAAAGCCCATTCAGCTATGAACTCAGCACCACGGATCGGTCCACTGATGAGGTCAGTGCCTGCCCGACCCGACCACCTCTCTTGGCCTCACCTCTGAACACTGCTGCCTTGGGGATCAAGCCCTCCCACTGTAAGTCTTTGGGGGACACTTTTTTAAAACCATAACAAGGGCGATAGACACTACACTGGGAATTTGTAAGAGCAGGTTTCACACATACTCACCACACACACACCAAGGTAACTGTGTGATGATGGAAATATTTATTTTCTTGACTTTGGGAATCATTTCACCATATCAAAATGTCACGTGCATCTTTAGTACATACAAAAAGTCTTTTAAGGGCTCAGTGGTAGAGACTTTGCCTAGCATGGAGGTCCTGAGTTTAGTCTTCAGTACAAATAAATATAAATAAATGAAGTTATATACCCTCTACACTCCAGTGACACTTTAACAGTTTGTACTGGATATAGCATAGGCCGAGGGGACACTTCAGAACAGGGCTGAAGGAACCTTTTCCTTTCCAGCTCTCTAAGCTGTATTTGAAAAGCGGCAGCAGACAGAGCTCATTTTCTATTCACTGCTGACAGGAAGGAAAATCATCTGCAAATTCCTTTAGCTGATGATCGCCAAAAATAAATGCAATTCTGGCATAAGGTATAAAGCAAATGATGGGGAAGCAAAGTGGTGTGGCATGGAGAATATGGTTTTACATTTGAAAATCTTGAGGCATAGATCTTTTAAAATATTTTTTATGAGCCCCATAAACCAGAACTGTTCCTCAGCAGTTTGCAGAAACCAGGATTAACGTGGTGCTATAGACAAGGATTTACGCAAAGCTGATTTCCATGCATTGCCACAGCCACCTAACACCAAGTCTCTGCAATTCTACATAATCTTTTCAAAGCCTGCAAGACACAGCGGGGTTAACTTCCTGGCAATACCCGCGGGCCTCTGTGCCCAAGACACTGTGCTGGGGACTAGGACTAGGGGGAGAGAAATAACTAGCGCGGCACCTTGCTGTGAGGAGCTGCTGGTGTAAATCCAAGAGGGCGAGGAAGCAATGCAGAGGGTGAGGGACAGCACCCGCAGGAGAGGGGGGCTGCTGATGGGGCTCCCCAACATCCCCCGCACAGCGCCCGCGGCAACCGCGCTTGATGTCCTCCGCAGCCCCGCTCCCCAGAAAGTCCATGCGCCAATCTTAGCCCTAGGCTTGGGGAGGTGAGGAGGTCACAGTGGTGGAGACCTCAGGAAGGAAGTAGCACCCCCACTAGGGACAAACAGCCTCGGGAATCCCTGCTGGTTGAGGGCGATGAACGGAAACAAGACCACCCTAGACGACAAGTCTGCGGCACCGGAGCTCCCCAGCCTCAGAGCAGCGAGAAGTGATTTCTGCGCGTAATTCTAAGCGGCTCAGCAGCCTGCACCGGCCAGGACAGTGTGGGAACAGAACCCGAAGGCCAGAGCCAAGCAAGGCACCGCTCTGGGCAGAGGCCCCTGGGATTTGGACGCCAACCTCACCCACTTAGGGCCCACTGACGTGTTTTCTTCTGCACGATTAGGAGTCATGTATAGTCAATTATTTGCCAGGCACGGAGCTCATGCCTGCAGCCCCAGCACTGAGGCTGAGGCAAGAGGATCCCTCCGACTCTGAGACCAGCCAGGTGAACTCAAGGCGAGCCTGAACTACCCAGCGAGTCCCTGTCTCCAAAGTAAACAAAACCATACAGCAAATCTCTTCATATACCCTGCTAGCTCTGTCTACACCAGCCCAGCAAAGGATCAGACCCCTGGCTGGCTAATGTTCCTTAGGTTCTGAAGGCTCCTTCACAGACTCTGCAGGGTCTGGGAACAAGTCCACTCATGCCTCCTCTCCTGAATTCTACACAGCCCGAGTATTTCACTCTTCATACTCTGCAGCTTCATGTTTAACTTAGGCCCTACAGCAATAAAGCTGCAGGAAGCTGCTGCTTATTTCCTCCAGAGCGAAGTGTGCAGCCAGTAACTTCCCACCGACTGGGTCCCCAGCCCCATGCTGTGCAGGTGCTCAATGGGGAAATAAGGAGTTTGTTCTGCACAGAGCTAAGCTATCAGTTCAGTTAGGAAGCTATTACTGTAATTAGAAAAGGGACTGCTCCTTGCAGGAGAAGTTCCTTTTTATTAGCGAATATTTGCAATACATCGTGATTATATTCAGTTCAGGGCTTTGACTCATATACATATCCCATCTTGACCATTTTTACTCTTCTCTGTACCCAGGAAAAATTCCTTTTCTAAAGAAATACCTGTTCAACGAGAGTCTTGTGGCTAAGAAAAAGTGCTAATTTGCCTTCGAAAGGCACACACAATGGGCTACTCCCAGCCAGAACTACCTACCGCCCATGCCCTGCAACAAGTTCTTAAGAAAAAAATTTAAAAGGAGCTGTTCTGGGAAGCCTGGGAAAACAAAGCTCTGGGAGGCACCACCTAGCGACCAGAGGTGGAACTGCTCCCCGCCCTGCCCAACCTGCTAACACACAGACTTTCAAAAAGCCAGGTCTCCAGCAAGTTACCACAAAGCCACATCACTCCCCTTTCAAGTCGTCTGTGGAATAATCTGGAAACAAAACAGGTTGGCCTCATGGGTTATGGAGCTACTGCCAGTGTGTTTTATAGCTTCTGGATCTGCTATGCTAGTGACAGTCTCCCACTAAATGTGCAGCTGTTTAAAAAGCAATACTCGGATACTCAAATTTGAAAGGAAGAATGTTAGGAAATCTTAGATGTTTTAAAAGCAAACTTGAATAAAATCCATTTTGGACCTCTGTCCTGTCCAATAAAGATCTACAATAGATTTGCACCAACTCAACCACTTACCACACTGAAATACACTTCTGTGTTACTTTCACTGCAAAGATGGAGTAATGCCCTGAATGTTTCCCTTCTTCATAAAAAGGTACTTTGCTAGATTATTCAAGATAATATAATAATAAACAGGTAGACAGTATTTCTTAAATTTGTTTTACAGCAAATAAATATATGAAAAAAATGTTCAATCGAGAAATGCAAATTAAAACAACACTGAGCATCCATCTCACTCCAGAAAAATGGCTGTCATCAAGAAATCAACTAATAACAAATGCTGGTGGTACTGTGGGGCAAAGGGAAATGGAGACTGGTACAAGCACTGTAGAATTAGCAGGCAGATGCCTCAGAAAACAAGGACTGCAGGTCCCATTTGATCTAGGTCCTTCCCCTCTGGTGTCTTCCCAGAAGAATCAAAAACATCACACCACAGTGACGTATGTGCACCCACATTTATGGCAGTACAATTTGCAATAGTTAAATCTTGGAAACAACCCAAATGTCCATCAACCACGGAACGGATAAAGTGTCATCTTTTCATACAATGGAGTATTACTCAGCCATAAAAAGGTTAAACTGGAGATTTATAGGTAAATGGATGCCATTTGAGACCATACTCCTAAGTGAAACAAACCAGACACACATGTGTAAACACTGTATTATGTCCTCAGTGTAAGAAACTGAAAGAGTAAGTAAGATCCAAAGTGTACAACAGATACTGTAAAATGGGAAGAAGCTTCAAAAGGAGAGAGAAACTATGACGGCAGAAAGGAAAAACGACAGGGAAAGTAAAAACAAATTATATATATATATATATATATATATATGTATATATATATATATATATGATAGTTAAGAAGTTATACTACTAGTTTCTCTTAGTTCACTGAAAAGCAAGGTTTGCGCTAATATTGTCTGGACAATTAAATGCTGGTGTCTTGTACTCTGAGATGCTAAACAATACACAATTAACCATTGTTATCCTATTGTTTTGAAATTTTTCTTTGTAATAAAATTTTAAAAACGACTAAAAATTGTAGTTTAATATATTTTCAGTACTCTTGCAAACTTTTATGTTAACAAAATGCAAATTGTGACAACCAGACAAGAAAGTTCTGCATTTTACTTTACAAATTGCAGACTACACACAGAGCTTACAGAAGACTGAGGGACAGGCAGGTAACTTTACTCACCTAACAGAATAAAAACCTGTCTCCGCAGTCACGGTCAAAGGCTTTTCAAGGCAGATGGCAGGCTGGAGATACAAAGAGCATGGTGTGATTTACACAATCTAAAACTAATGTCGCTGGAATTAAACAGACTCGTAATCGTGTAGAATTTATTATGGCTTTAAATTTGTAAGTTTTTCACAGAAAAAATTTGGGGGCAAATAAAGACAAATTTCAAGTAAGCATAGTTCAGGGTTTCATTTCTTTATTTTACCTTCATCAAGGCAAGCAAAGTACAGATGCTGTACATTAAAAACACACACACATCGCTCGCACATCAGTTCCTACAGGCTGAACACATCTGCCACGTGCCGCTCCTCTCGGAAGCCTATAACCACCGCTAAATGTACAAAGAGCCGTCCGCTGGTCCCACGTAGCCAACGCCAATCAGCAGGACGTCTATGAGCGTCCAGATCCCCAGGCCTCCGAAGCTGAAGAGCTTGCCAAGGCCTTCACGCCACTGGCCCAGGTAGAAGCGGTCGGCTCCAAAGCCTCCGAGGGTGATGCTGCAAAGCGGAAGGGACTCTGTGAGCACAGCCAGCTGGGGTTCGGTCAGCACGTGAGGTCATGCTCAGGAAGGGGCTCTAACTGTCACAGCCCCTGATGAGAATACATGACAGACTCGTGAAGTCCCACCACCACAGAACCACAGGCAAAGAGCCTGTCACCAGATGTAAATGTATGGCTTAGCAGGTTCCACACCCGGCACCAGAATAAAGCACACATGCAAATTTTAGCTACGCTGAAATATGGTACTTTCTCTCTTTTGGAAAAATAACTGAGCCAGGGGCACACGCCTGTTAATACAGCATGTGGGAGGCCAAAGTAGGAGGATCACAACTTTGAAGCCCAACCTGAGCAACTTAGTGAGACCCCATCTCAAAATAAAAAACAAAACAAAACAAGACGCTAGGGATGTAGTTCCGTGTGATGGTCCTGGGTTTAGTCCCCAGCACAGCAAAATCAAATCAAATCAAATCACCCCAGCCTGGATTATGGAGTAAAGAACCCATCTTTAAAAAACAATCAATCTCACCACTTTTTACTCAAAGCAGGGCCCCACCTGACAGAATGCATGCAGACATGCAGTCTAACACAGTCAGTGTACTCGGACTGAGTCATCTAATTTTTCAGTCACTCTTCTCTAATAAAACTTTTTTGTTCTAAATGAGGGACTTCTGTGTTACCAATGAGCAACTTTTATGGTTCCTTTAAACTCTACAATCTAACAATACTGAGACAATACTTATTATGACAAATTTCCAAACACATAAAAGTAGAAAAAAAAGAACAGCACCACGAGGCAGCACTGATGAGACCCACATGTGACCCGGCGCACTGCAGGTGCTGCTCACCTGCCTGGCCCCAGCTCAGAGCCGCCCGCCCTCCAGGCCCGCAGGGAGCCACATGAGATTCAACCAACCGAGGACCAACATCACTTGGGGAGAATGAACTGTGCCTGCCCTGAGCACGCGCAGGCTTTCTTCTGGTCCTCTTTCCCTAACAACACAGTACAACTACCACTGACACAGCATCTACACTGCACCGTGTGCTGTAAGGCGTCCAGACACGACTGAACACTGGCAAGAGGTCGTGTGCAGGCTACACACAGGCACAGTCCCACTGAGAAGCCAAGTAGGCCTGGAAGCCAACACCCTAAATGCGGTGGGACAAATGTACTTTGCAGCAAAACTTCAGACATTATTTCCTTTACAGCGAACATTTTGAAAGAAACCATGGTGACCTCTGAGAAGGAAGCTGCTCTTAATTTTTAAGTTGGTTATTAAATGTGCCATAGTAATATAAGACATGAACAATGCAGGGCACTCTGGGTGAGGGGTGTAGAGGAGCGTCCCACCATTCTTGTTTGAAATTATTCTGAATAAAGTGTTTTTTAAAAAAGTCAATTGTTAGTTTTAATTGGACTACTGCAGACCAAGACCATGTGCGTCCAGTTCTCAAATGTTCTTTGTGGTATCCAATCTCTGTCCTAGATTCGTCTTTTACTTTCCAGTTACAACTGCTGGCTGGACAGGACTCTTCTTTCTCCAGCTCAAACCGAAGGCAGTGGATCTCAACAGGAGGCTGTTTGTCTCCCACACTGCTCATGTCCAGAGCCCCGCTGTGGTCGCAGATGAGGGTGGGAGAAATTGCTCAGCACTCGCCTCTGTACAGGACAGGCTAAGCCCCCAGCAAGAATCTGGCACAAATGTCAACAGTGAGAAGGCTGAGAAATCCCGCCCCACCTGCCTCACATGCTGCAGGACCCCAGGCACCAGTCAGGGCCTCAGGACTTCAGATGTAGGCAGTCTAACTTTCTAATGAACCATTTAACCAGGGTCCTGCCTGCCACTCTCCTTAGTGGGAAGGACTGACACATTTATTTTTAAAACTATTGAAAAGTTTAACATTACATGTACATTTTCATATAAGAGTTATAGTTCTATAATTGTCAGAATGGCGAACTTACAGGTAATTTAAATATATTTATCTTTCCAGCTTTGAGTACTGAGCACTTTTTTAAAAGAAGTTACTTAAAATTTAAAATATACAATATAAACCTACACATTTTAACTAGTCTAGCATAATTTGCTGATCCATGCAGACTTAGGGTGGGAAACCCTGCTAGTTCTCACACTGCCACAGTGACCCGAGTCACCTCCAGCACTCAGAGGCACCACAGGAGCACAGCTAACACGCCTGTGGTTAAACTCCACACAGGGACAGGCCTGGCCATTGGACCTGCTCAGCCACGCTTCCTAGAGTCTCACCCACGGTAGGAGCTGAGTGAAGGCTAATTCTGGCTGAGCGCAATGTGTGGAAAACCTCAAGGAAATCTAAACGGCATTTTTAACTTCTTAGGACCAAAGCTCACCATAAAGCTCACCTTAGAGCCAGGGCAGTCGACCACTTGTAGCCTCCAGTCCAGTTGCAGTACAGCATTTTGTGAAAAGTACGGTTACCTTATCAAAACGAAAATGGACACAAACACTTAACTAATGGCTTCGCAATTTAGTGCCTAAAAGGTTACATCTCTTTACAGTAAGTTGTGTTTATGACAGTTGATAAACACAAAGTCCTACCATCAATAAACATACACTTAATATTTAAGTCAGGCAAGTTAGGGGTACAGCCTGAAGGATGTGAAATGACTTACCAGACATTAAGACCTGGTGAAGTTAAGAGGAGGTAAGACAGTGTGGGGCTGAGACAGATTAATCACCCCGGAGGAAGACTGTCCAGAACCAGGACCACATACAAAATGCCTTGCCTATTACAGAGGTCACAGACAGATGGATGGCCACAACTGGCTTATCCATGTGGGAAGAAAAATAAAGTTGAATCTGTCTCACATTACGAAAACAAATTACAGGTGGATTACAAACTTAAATGTAAAAGGCCAAACTTGTAACTTTTAAAAGAAAATGCAGCAAATTATTTTTATAAACCTGGGCTGGAAAAGACTTAATCAACAACATATATTAACTATGGAAAGACTAATAACTTAAGCTAATCGTATTTTTGAAGTTCCACTCATCATCAAAAGATTCTCCAAAGAATGTGGAGAGGAAAAATTAAAATTTGGGAAAAGGTTTTAGGGACATCTACGGTTAGTGTCAAAAGTATAAAAGAATCTGAGAAATCTTCAATAAAAAGACAAAGATAAGAGGTATGACAAAAATTACACATCACTACTGGTGGGAATGTAAATTAGTGAGACCATTCTGGAAAACACGACCTGTGGGAAAGTTTATGCTAGGCACGCTCCTGCACAGGTCCAACCAGGAGCAGGTCCAGAAGTTTTAACAGTATCTGCAAGAGCGAAAAACAGCAAATAACCCAAATACCTAGCAGAATGGGTAAAGTATGGTACAATCCTACAAAAGATTACCCTACAGAAGTAAAAATAACAAACCAGAAAGTGCCAAGGACAAGTCTTAGAGCCACAGCGGAAAGGAAAGACATCTTAGACCACGGCCTGATGTCATGCTATCCAGGTCTAACACCTGCACTAGTGAACAGTGCATCAAAGGATATTAACTTATTAGTACCAAAGCTTATCTTAGAATTAAGAAAAACTTGAAAAAGGAAGTAGACGATAAAATCTAAATGGTTAACTACCTGGGAAGACGCAGAGCAAGTGGGTGGAGGCAAAGCACTTATCGAGTTGCAACAGTGTCTCTACTGCAACAGTCATCCAACCACTGCCTTAGACCTCAGCTGCCCTTTCCTGTTTTATCAGTATTATATCTAATAAGATAAGAGAAGTGGGCAATCTCTGGATACTTTATTTTAGTCCACTGAATTCATTAATGAGGCCTACCACATTTAAAAAACTGTTGACATTTTTCACCAGAATTTTAAGCTAAAGTTTCTGGTTAAGATCCCTTCACTAAACTTGGAGGAAAGTATTTTTCTCACAAACTTCCTTAACTTCAACTTACCCAAGCAATGAATGTGGTCCCGCACCGTGCAGTTGGCTCTGTACCGCTGCCGGGGACAAGACACCGTCATGCAGCTGGTGGAATTGGTGCATTCATAATCTGTTTCAGGAAGCTGCCAGCAAAACCTGCATGTCATGTTGATGACAAAGTTCTTTTGGGGTTTGAGGTCTTGATCCTATGCACCAAAAGGCACAGAGTTCATCAATCATAGTATGGTACTTGTCATTATGTCAGTAAGACCAATAGTCATATGGCACAGGATTTCTAAAACATTTATATTTAGAATCTGGTAGTAAGTGGCAGAAAAACAGGTACTAAACAATATGTTGCTCACTTATGGAAAAAAAATCTACACAAACTAACATTAAAATTGCAAAAGTTATTTCAAGGTAGTAACTTTCTTTTTGCTTAGGTTACTTTCTTATAATGAAGATGCATACTTTTGTAGAAAAAAGGGAAAATTTGTAAGCCTCAGTCACACAGCTAGAAGCAACAGAAGCATGCACCTGTTCAAGGCCCCCGAACTGAAAATCAGGAGAACCTGGGTCCCTGAGCCAGCAGGACACCTTTGGAAGCACAGCACACTGCCTCGCTTCTGGCTCCCAACTCTCCAGCATCACCAGCAACCATCTCTGGCTCCGGCTAGCACCTTAGGGCTTAGAAAAACCATGTGACAAGTGGGGTTAGAATCCTACATGTTAGGTAGCTGTTCTCATTTGGGCTGCCTGTTGGCTGATCAGGCCAAGTGCTCCAGGAGATGGGCGCGGCAGTAACAAGCCACTGTGTGGATTGCAATAGAAGGCAGGGAAGATTTGAAACTTGGAGGTAAGGTACTGCACTGTGCTCAGAGGCCTTAGGCTGGGGTGAGGGGACAGAGACTCTCCTCTCAAACTGCAGCTCAGGAACACTCAAAAAGGCAATCATCTGTTCCTTCCAACTACACATCTACCTGAGATTTATTCTATACAAGACAAAGACTCACTTAAATTTTTCCAGAGCTGCCCAGGCATTCCAGCATTCACTGAACCAATCTTCCCACCACTGCGAAGACTGACCCTGTCACAAACTCACCCCGGTATGAAGACTCTGCCAATCCCTCTACGCCAGCTCACTACTAAGAACTCAGAGCCCACTTGGAGGAAGGATACCTGCCTCAGGTACGCTGGTAAACTCAGTCTCCACGTTCTACAAAGCAACATTTCTGCCACACACACATGCAGCCCACGCCAGCAGGCCTTGTCAATTACCATTACAACAGGAACAGAAGCGATCTGATGTGGAAAGGAATGCAGGATATTCAAATTTATTGTGCTTTATGTTTTACAAGATAGTTATAAAAATTATTTCAGAATCCTGTCCACAACAGCAACTCTAAGCTGCCTTTTTTTTTTTTTTTTTTGCAATGCTATGGTTTGCACACAGGGTGCTTTGCTGCATTCACCCCTGAGCTACACTTTTAACTTGAGATTTCTAATGCACTGATCAGAGGAAGTAAGCTACAATACTTACAACACAGGTGACAGAAGGCTTCACTGTACAATCAAAGGTGACAGGCTTCCCATAGACACAAGAGAAATTGGTGGCACAGTCTATACAGTCTGCAGGGAGTCTGCTACACAAACCATTGCTTGGACACTTCATCACATAAGGTGGGACTTCGGTGCTTTCTGTGAGAGGTGAGAGAGCGGCTTTTTAATACTAATCAGAGAAACAGGAAGACAATTTTCCAAGGGGAAGAGATGACCATTATCGATGAGACACTGTGAGGTGCTGGAATGCAAAACGCAGAGTTGGAGTCAGAGGCAGAGGTGGCCACGATTAAAGCAGAGTCCGACACCAGCCAACCCTGTGCCCTGTGAGCAAAACACTGTGTAAAATGTATTCCATTCCTGCCTTCCAAGTGGTCATGAAAACTAAAGGTGCTCATGTACAAATAAGATCTAGAAAATGCTGGGTACAAGGTAGGAGCTAAAAAGACTCACCACATATAAGACAAAAAACTTAAGACATGACAGGGTTTATACAAAATTTCACAAAGAGTCTGGCAAACCTGGAATGCCTCCATTTCCAATCCAATGCTCTTTTCATGAATGCACTGATTGGGAAATGAGGCGACTGACACCCTCTGCACCAATGCTAGAAAATGTTCTCTGCCATTACTCCACACTGGTACTTCCATAAGCCACCGTCTGCTAATTTATGGTTTTACACTACCAAAATTCAAAACTTTCCTACTTTAATAATTTGTTTAGTAAGTTTCAACTTTTACTCCAACCACGCCAGCCAAATATGAAATATATTTTTATCGGTTGAGCGACAAACACTGCAAGTATTAATGAGAAGGCAGGATTAAAAAAAAAACCTACCATTTTTATGCTTTGTCTGAAAACTCTGCATTTTAAATTTAAGTATGTCACTGTCTTTTACATCCAAATAAAAATAAATAAAATATCTCTGACAGAACTGACTCGCCGAAACAATGGAACTGTAAAGGGATGCCACTACAGAGGCCAAGTTTCCATTTACTAAAACACACTAATAACCCTTTAAAACTGGTCCTTCTGGTCCAGGGATATAGCTCAGGGCACAATGCCTGCCTGTTAAGCCTGAGGCCTTGGGTTCAATTCTCATTATCAAAAAAATTTAATAAATAAATCAGCGGTCCTTCTTCACTCTGTTGCACTAAGTTGCCAAATTTACAAAATATCCCTTTCTTTTCCATTATTACTGATATAGGGCTGAAGCAAGACACCGGAAGACTTCCAAAGCTGAGATGGCTTTAGGCAACCACACTAACCTAACTGCCTCTTAAAGAAACAAAAGACCCAAGAAGATGTTAATTTCTTTAATCCCCCAATAGTGCCTCAGACCTAGACTCCAAGTGTTAGGCAGCCTTCCTCCCACTTCACACATCAATGTCAGTCTTCAGAATCAGGAAAGGGGTTCTAGAAAGAGGACTTGACTTACGATGTGTTCATGTGTTCGGAGGACTGGCTGTAACTCAGGGTGTCAGCTGAGGGCTCAGGCTCCTCTGCACAGCCCTCAAAGTCTCTCTCCAGTGTACAGCAGATCTCAGTGCCCTTAGAGACACACTGCCCAGGATTTCTCAACCCCATACAGTCAAGCATGTTGTCATGTGCCTTCCAGAACTCTTTATGGGTTAAGTCTGCATCTGAGACCATCTGGAAGCACAAGTACCCAGCTGGCATTGCGGACACAACTCAAGATTCTGGTGGTAAATTAAAACTAAAATTCCCATCATAATCCAAACTGTGAAGGATTATGCCAGGCGATTCCTAACTGAAGGGGCCATTTATAAGAAATTTTCTGAAGGCAAAGCAGCACTGATTAACGGATCTCTTGATGGAGTAATTAGGAAAATGATAGAAACAATGAGACAAACGGAGCATGACACAGTAAAAAGCTAAGAGGCAGGGATGTCAAAGCGTACTCAAATACCAAAATTGAACATGGCTGCTACCTCCCTTTAATTCACATAACCTAAAATACAACATATACAATAGTCAAACAGGAAGTAATTTTGTATATTAAAAATTCTTATCAAAAACATAAACACTTGAGATCAACATGCACATTTGCTAGAATAGATAATGTCCAGTACCTGCAGCCCTGGGAAGTACCGTGAACATGCGTGTTGGGCCCGGATCCTTTACTGCCTGGGTCAGCGGCTGCGAGTGCTCTAAAGGAAAGGACCAGCAGTTAGACAACGGCGCCAGCCCGGGAAGCAAACTCTGGCTGCGCGGCTAACAGGCAACACCTCGCTACGCCACGACCCTCACGACCACCTCAGGTTTGACAGCCAAAAGACAGGAAGCTATGACAGCAAAACGCCGACGGGGCCGGCACCGGTTCGACTCTCCGGGCAACTGGGGACCGAAGGGAGGTATCGGGTCCAGTTCCGCCGCCCAGGCCGAGTCCCGAGCGTTTACTCCCTCCGGCCAGGACGCGCCACAACCGTCAGCCCTCGGCTCGGCGCAGACACTTCCTACGGCTCCGCGAACCCTCCCACCACCTAGCTGTCGGAAGCCCCCGGCCTCAAACTCACCACCACCCGACAAAATGTAGAGCTGGGAGAGGAAGAGAAGCAACCGGCACAGGCTGCAGAGGGTCCACAACGATCCCGCTGCAGCCGCCATGTTGCCGGCGTGCACTTCCGGGGCGTGGCCTGGGGAGCCCGGCGCAGGCGCAATGGGGCCGTAGGGGGCGCGTCTGCCTTTGCAGAACACTGCCTTCCCCACCCGCCCCTGACCCCTCCAGGTGCCTTGGGGATCCTCTCTTCCGCCCGGCGTGGTAGTGGAGCCCTGGGACTGCGAGCTTGCTCTGACCCCACACGCCCCTCCACTTTCCACTTGTGAAGCCCGGGAAAGGACCACCTGGGGACTAAAATTCACACCTGAGGCGACTGACAGCAGAGGCAGGCAAGTTTGGGAAGGTGCCACCCTTGCATGTGGCGGGTGTTAAGAGTTTGGAGAGGCTTCTCCGTGTGGGGCCCAGTGCGAAGGTTCTGATGACAGGATCCCATTTCACTTTGTATTCACACTGACGGCGCGAGAGGAGCCACCCAGAGGCTGAAGCTGCGAGGAAGATCAGATTTTATTCCTCGGACAGGCAGCTGACATCGAGTATCAGGGAGTATCTCCTAGGGGACTGAAATACACAGGTTTTAAGGAATCTGGATAGCCCTAACCCTTTAAGTGCAATCACCAGCCAGGTTAGTACACAGAGCTGGCGTCACAGGAATTGAACTTTTCATTTGACCTTGTCTTCTGTTTACCAGGGGCAAGCGGTTGCCAGTAATGGAGACTCCACTGTTTACAGTGGGCTGCCTGTCTCCCTCAGGCCAGCCTCAGGAGTCCTGATAGTACAGATTAGGTAAACGGCCTCAGTGCAGCAGAAAAAGCAGCCCCTGGCAACAGGAGTCCAACAGGAGCCAGAGGGACTTACCCCACCCGGATCCAGGCCCTCAGCCAGCCTTAGATGTCACCCTGGCCAACTCCCCGATTCTCTTAGGGCTCGGGACTCCGGGTGTGGGGTTTTCACGTGAAGGAAAGGCGTGTCCACGCACAGAGCCTGCCGGGTCACATCCCAGCGCACTTTGTGGGGCGTGGTTAACATGCTTGGCTCTCCCCACCTGCTTGCCCCAAGATCATTCACTTTGGGGGTCTTCAGATTCCCCACGCCCTCATCTGCATGCTTGATGAATGAAAAAAAATATGGACTGATGCTTGTGCAGAATAAACTCTGGATAAACGTTAGCTTTAAAAACTGTATCACGAGATGCACGTTATGCTACTATACAGGTTTGATAATGACACTTTTGGTGCCATTTGTTCACATCCCCCAAGAAACAATATGCTGAAGAGATGTTTCTTGGATTTAAATTCTGCAGCATCTTGCCAAACATTAAATAAGTATTTCTTGATAACTAAATTCTCTATTTGCCTAGAGCCATTTTAATTGTATTCTGAGCAAGCAACATAGTTCCAGTTAAAATCAGAAATCATCTGAATCTATAAATTGGTGAAATGTTATCCCTTCAAAAAAGATAATTTAACTATATATAAGGCCATGACTGAAACACTGGAAACACTGTTACACATTTTATTTTGGGAATTTATTTTTTCTAAAGATGAATTAAGGATTATGAATTAGAAGCATTAAAACTGCAACTCTTAACTACAGTGCAAATAAAAGACCCCATCACAGTGAGTTTCTTTTAAGGTTCAGAGTTGTCAGTAACCCAGTACTTAGCGCTAGCTGTTTCTTACAGTTGCTGCTTAATTAAAACAAATTAATGATTGCAATTTGGGAGATAAAGTTTCTGTGTGAACTCTGGTAATCAACAGCCATAAAAAGTACCTGAGACATAATATTACTGGAAAAGAAGGAGCTTTTTCCATATTCAAAAGATTTGAAGACTTTTATTTCAACTTTTTTTTAATGCTGGGAATTGAACCCAGGCCTCAGCTGTTTTAGGCAAGTGCTCTACCCCTAGCTACACCTCCAGGCCTGAAGCTTATTTTTTGAAAATCATGAATATTAGCAGTAACTTTTCATAATTTTCATTTCCAAATGTTTCCTTCTTTCAATGAGTAACATTTCACCCCTGAGGTCACTGAAGATACTGTTCGTTTGAAAATGGCCAAAGCTGCTTCTCTTATCATTGCCAGAATGCATTAATGAATTAAATATTGTATACATCAGCTATTCATTCACTGTTCCTTTCTCAGCTGACCCCGTACGTGAGCCCATCAGTGCATCCAAAGCTTTAGAAGTACTAACACGTTAACTGTTTAAGGAAAATACATTTTTCAAAGGTCAAAACAAGTAGTAGAAGGTCTTTAAAATTCTTCTTCAGCATTTAGCGTGCGTGATTTCTTGAGATTCTTCAATTTATCAATGACAGAAGTTACTGAAATCTCTCCATGAATTTTATTGTCTCTTGTTCGAACATTTACGGCATTATTTATCTTTTCCTTTTCTCCAACCACTACAGAAAGACAAAAAAGAAAGAAATTTTAAGCCAGTGACTAGCCACTAAGTCCATGACACAAGCCCGAGTTCTTCAGTAGCAGTCCCAAATATCTAATGACCCTCTGAGAGTTAAGAGTCTTGTGAAGGAAGGACTTCAAAGCCAGTCTCTGCACTGCCCTCGTGAGGGGTGGTGGTGTGGTCTTGGGGTGCGAAGGGAGCAGAGAACTCCTACAGACCACTGTCAGGCTGAGAAGTCAGAAGATGGACGGACATTACATCCATGCCAGCCAGTCAACCAGAATTTTCTGGAATGCAGGGAAAAACAACTTGTTCTTTCTAGTGATGTGTACTGTAAGATGATCCAAGACTCTGCAGCCATGTTTATTACCTAAGGGAGGAAGAAACTGACCCACAGATAAATGCACTAACGTAGATATTCAAGAAAAGTGTAAAGGATGAGAGCAAAACAACAGCCAGAACTGTGGAGAAATGGTTCTTGTAAGCTCTTGGTAGTTACTCTTCCAAAGATCTGGCTATTTAATCCTGCCTTTCATGGGACCACCCCCAATACCTTCCAGTAAATTCTTTCTTTGCTAATTCGAGCTTTCTGTCACTAAACAGGCCTGACTGAGGCATCAGTGTGCACTACAAAGTCACACAGGGTCAGTGACAGAGGCTGACGAGACAGTCCCATGCACACTCAGCTGTGCTCTCACAGTCTGTACAGCAGGCGCAGCAGGATGCTGCAGCACATCCATGCTGGCTGGTCTTGATTTCAAAATCGTTTTTAAAGCCAAAATTTTAGAGTCTGTATCCAATGACTCGTGACTCTGGGACATTTTACTTTTTCATTTATTTTTTTCCTTTTGATCACTTTAAATGTGGAACCTTTCCCACTCATTTGTCTAATCCCCAAGATCTCTAATAACCCTGAAAAGCAAGGGCAGTATTTCAGGCCTGCCATCTGACTGAAACATAGGAATATAACTCTACTGCAGGGATTGTTTTCAAATTCTTTTCATTTTAGTTTGCGATGTTAACTGCTGTAATACCACACCATAGGGTTCTTTTGAAAATGTATAGCTCTCCTTCCAGCAAATAACAAAGGGCACTGAAGAACAGCTAACTCATGACTCGTCCTTGTAAGTACTTAACAGTCAGATTCTGATTATCATGTAGTTATACCATATTACTTACTTTGCTTTTTTGGAATTAAAACCAAAAAATCAACATTTGAAAAATATGTATTAAATTACCTAAGATAAAATTATACTGAGCCAGCTGTGCATTTCGTATTTTCTTATTTAGCGTACAACTGTCATCTAAATCAGTATCAGCCATAAACCCTTCTTCAAAGAATTCACTGGATACCTAGAAGAAATGGAATATTTCCATTATTACACTGTTCATGGTAGCCAGACTCGGACAGCCCTCACTGCCCCCCATCTCCCGGTGTTCACAGCCCTGCGTGGCTCCCTCCACCTAGTACCAGGGCGGTCTGACCCACAGCACAGGGCAGAAGCCTTGGGTATCATTTCTGAGGCAGCTGAGACCATGGCCTCCACTCTCCACATCAGTTACTCGGGGAAGCCAGCTGCTGGGCAGTGAGAACGTTCAGGCAGCCTGGCAGGAAGCCCAGTGGCGGTGTGGGTGAAGGAGCCCCCACGGCCCTTGCAGGGTACTGGCAGCTGACCGCAGCCTAAGGAGACACTGCATCAAGGTCAACCAACTAAGCTGCTCCCAGATTCCTGACTTGCAGAAACTGTGAGATATTTATTATTGCTTTAATTTTAAATTTTGAAGTAATCTCTTATGCAGTAACAGGTAACAGGACAGTTTCCCTTCATGTGAAAAAAATTCTTAAATCATGATGTAATGGCTTGTGTCTAGATGGTCCCCCCAAAACTCATGTGGTCCTATGTGGGGCTTTCTGGAGGCAGACGATCTAGCGTGTGTGGTGCTGGGATCAAGGATGTGATGCCAGCAGTAAGGCAGCCCCACCCTGGGCGATGGTGCTGCCCACGCTAAGGCAGGTAGCGAGGATAGGCTATGAGGGGCAGAAAGAAGTCCCTGCCTGGAGCCTGGAGCTGCTTCACTCCTTTGCTGGTTTCTGCCCGCCACGAACTATTTTTCCCCTGAGGTGCCCCTCTGCGTGCCACCCTGCCTTGGAGCCAGCTGACTATAAACAACCTATAAACTGTGAGCTAAATAAACTTTTCCTCCTTTAACTTTGAGTGCCGGGTACTTTGTTTCAGCCACAAGAAAAGTAACTAAGATATTTGAAATGTTTCAAAATATCAATTTCTTGCTCAGGAGGGACACTCAAGAGGCTAACACAGGAGGATTGCCATGAGTTTGAGGCCAGCCTGGGCTGCGCAGTGAGTTCAAGACCAGCCTAAACTACACAGTGAGATCGTATTTCAATAAAAAACCAAACAACACACCAATTTCTTCAAAGCATTATGAAATAAAATAATTCTGATATAGCTACACAGTCATATTCACAGGCTATTCACAATTACTGAAAACATAAATTGTTAAACGAATGTGTCATTAATGCAGTATTTAAAAGCATGAATGAGCCAGGCATGCTGGCACAAGCATGTAATCCTAGCACTAGGGAGGCTGAGGCAGGAGAACTGCTGCAGGGTCAAGGCCAGTCTGGACTTCATATTGAGACCCTGTCTCAAAAATACCAAAATAAAATAAAATAAATAATAATAAT